GAGACACCCAATGAGGATCGATTTTCTTACTTACGCAGGAATAATCATTTACTAGTCTAATTCTTTTGAATATTGTCCCACCGTGAAGTCTGTCTCGTTACAAAATGATTGATTAGATCCGAAGGAAGTAAATGATGTTTTTATTTGCTTTTGGTTTCAAATTATTTTACAGGTTAGAATAGTGAGGACAAAATATTTATTTTAAAAAAAAAAGAAAAATGCCAGGAGAAAACAATAACATGATTCGTTAACAGATTCCTAATCCAGTTTTTACAAGAAACAGCCCAGTTCAATCAATCGATTCAGATTTGGCGACTTAAAATTTAAGAGATTTGTCATTTTTTTTTCTTTTCTTCTTTCTTTTTTTTTTTTTTTTGCTTATTGTTTTATTTCCATTTTTCCTTTTCTTCCATTTCCAAATTGAAAACTTATTCTTTTTCTCTTCGCATTCGTCTTTCTTTCGATTCATTCTTTTTCGCTAAAAATATTTTCGTATTAATTGCTTGTCTTTTCATTTATTTTTTCTCGGTCTTTCAATAATATATATATATATATATATATGTTGGGATCCATCAAATTTGACTTATAGAGAAGACACATGAAAATCCGTAATTGATAGAATGCGTGCGTTGAAACTTACGAACAATTCAGTGCGCATTTATGTTGTGTGAAAATAACTACGACAAACATACCTTGAAGCGACCAATTGAATTAAAGAAGGGAAAAGAATGTTGTATACTTTATATATATTGTTAAAAAGTTGCTAAATTTAGTAGGAAGGAGAGTTGAATATCGGAATGCATATCCAAAACGAAGTCGCTGTCTTTTTTGCTTCCTATTAGTATGGCTGATGCTAACCTTCTGCAGAGTGGTTTTAATTCCTATTCTTTTATTGTTCTTTCTACTTAACACTGTTTTTTTTTCTTATATTCTCTACAACTTAGTCAGCCCTCGTGTCTTCGTCTCTTTATTTCCTTGCTTGGGTTGAAATATGATATGTCCCGGAAAGCGATATATTTGAATGAAGTAGCTAAGTGGTTTTGGCCACTATAACCAAATAGAATATGGTAGCAGTAATCGACTGGTACGCGTCGTAGTCGCAGGTAAGAAATGTAGAGCAATGGCGTAGTCCAATGGGCGACGTTATAGACTTAGCTCTCAGACTAAGGCTCTCTTTGACTCTCCTACACGTCCGTCTGTATTTATGAAGGACACCAGCCAATCATATTCCAGTGAGGGGGAACACAGGTGCAAGCATATTCCATTATATCAATATATATATATATATATATATATATATATATATATATAGAGAGAGAGAGAGAGAGAGAGAGAGAGAGAGAGAGAGAGAGAGAGATTACCTAAAACTACACCCGACAATGGAGTCTGGAAAAGCGGAAAGAATTAGGGGGCCCCGAACCATTGTTACTTACGGAGGATCTCTGACTAAGATCTAGCATCTCTCTGCCCCTTTGCCTGTGATCGACTGGTACGCGTCGTAGTCGCAGGTAAGAAGTGTAGATCAATGGCGTAGTCAATGGGCGTCGTTATAGACTTAGCTTTCAGACTAAGGCTCTCGACTCTCCTACACGTTCGTCGGTATTTATGTCGGACACCAGTCAATCATATTCCAGTGAGGGGGAACATAGGTGTACGCATATTCCATTATATCAGAATGATTAAAAGACTAGAGACAGCAGTTTCATTTTGGAGGCGGGAAAAAAAACAAGGCATTTGTTGCTCCAGTTAACAACATATTGCAGGTCATTTTTTTTAGATCAGATGCCAATTTGAGCATATCAAAGACTTCAGACATACTCAGAAGACCGAACTTATTAGATACCAAGTTGAGAACTGACGATATCAGGAAGATTGTTATTGAAAATAAGGAACAACATAGATGCAAAAATGGAGCCTTGGGATGGAAGGTGGGGCAGCTGCATTAATATAAAAATCAAGAATATTTATAGCATAGGGGATTATATTCAGTGTCGGAACTAGATATCTAAAATTAAATACTTAAAAAGAAGAGAGCAGTTGAAAAATTGATACAGAGCTAAGCAAACAGACATCATACAACTGCCTGAGTGATGGTAAAGGGGACGTGATATTGTCTGGCTTAAATGGAAAGATGTTACACAAATTCAACCCAGATATTTACCTTAACACCCCAAGTTGGGCTTATAAGAAAAATGAAGTGAAATTCAAAGAAGGCTGTAATGAAGTTGATTTAAAACGAAATTATTAATTATATAACAAAATAAATTGTTGGCACTCAAAATTATCAAAATATGCTTACAAATAAAATATAAAAAGATTAAAAATGAATCATTTTTAGATAATTTATATTAAGAAAAATATTTTGAAAAATTTTTTAAAAAATTTACAAAGTTATCAACTCTCATAATAACTAAATTTTAAGTAAATTCTATGAGACTAACAATAAACCTGTTATTCCCCTCCCCCACACCGTATTTGTAGAAATAGTAAAAATTGTCTAGTTGAAGGAAAATGAAATGTACGTACGTTCTTTTCATCCTGGTTCATACGAACACAAAAGAGACTTTTAGTGTGTATGCAACTAGTCAGAATTGCATTATTACATATACGTTAAGTTCCTTTTGAGTTTTGTATAAAGCAGGATGAAAAGGGATACAGTTCATTTACACTCCACCCTAATCGATACATTTCCAATACCCTTGCTTTTATCCTCCTCCTCTTCCCCTTCTATCACACTTCATTTATGCATTTATTTTAAAATAATAAATCATTCATTAATTTAAAGAAAGTATAAAGCGTTATGAAATCAATTGACCGAAATCACCTGAAGATACCACGAGGTTGAAACCAAGGTAGCGGGATCGGCTGGTCTCATAATTGTTTTTTATACTACATTCATTCATTTTAGTCATTAGCATATATATTCTATCATTAGTATTGATAAGTCCAAGGAAAACTACTTTCTCAAGGAAGAAATGATCATCTGCATGAGGTAAATTGTTTGGATCTAATTAATTGTAATTCACATCCACACACAAACACACGCATATATATATATATATATATATATATATATATATATATATATATATATATATATCCCTAAACTATTTGTTTAAAAGAAATTAATTATTCAAATTGATAGCAAACATCAAATTAATTTATTCGATTTTTTTAGACATCTAAATTACTATCAAGCATTAAAATCTATTCTTTACATAAATTGCTAAAACCCAGTTACAGCCTCTTTCTCTTTACTTCCCTCTCCCTCTGCTTTCTTTTTCCTTTTTCTTTTCTTTCTTCTCCACTCCCATTTCAATATATCACTTCCGTTAAGTTAACCGTCTAAATAGGTCAAGGTCTGGTCACTCCTCCTCCCCCAATACAAAGTATGCTTGAGAGAGATATGAAATTAATCCCTCCCTATACTCTATCATGTCTCTTTAACTATCCCTCTCACACTCTATGTTAAATTACAAAAAAACTTACACTACCCATCAATTTTAATTTCATTTTTCGTTTCATTTCATTTTTGGAAGTGCTATCTGATGATCCGGCGTCTTTTCAAAGGGCTCTGGTGAAATAAATTATTATAATGGTACCTTAAAGTGGTCTGTTTTTCCTTTAAATATATATATATATATATATATATATATATATATATATATATATATATATATATACGGTGAGTAACAGCAAAATTGACCAAAACGTGTAACAGCATAATTGTCCATTCCACAAAATGTTAATATCTAAAAATACACGAAAGTAATTGAATTTCTGTTTTCCAGGTTTTCAGATAAGGTGTTTAGCCAACTTGATACAATTTGTCGTAATTATCATCGTAAAACCATTTGAGTTATTCAGCTAAAAAGAGAACAGGCTAAAATCGTTTCGTGTCAGACTCAATGTCTTCTTAACTGAGCAATGGTGAGAGGAAAAAACAATTCAGTCATTCAGTAATGGTATTAACATTCATACTCAGGTCCCATTTTCAAAGTCAAGAACCATCAAGAAAACAGTGAATAAGTTTAAAAAAGAGGGAACAGTAGAGATGAAAACTGGATCAGGAGGTCACAACAGCAAGAGGGATCATCATTTCAACTAAGAGCTGAAGTGATCAATTTCAGTTATGAGTTTCAAAGAGCAGTGAAAAAAGACTTGAAAATGAAATCGTTCGTGAAACCGCTGAGGCACATTGTTAGTCCTAGACAGAAAGTTAGAAGGTTAGAGAGGGCAAAGACCATCTTGAATAAGTTGGAAAATTACCTATAATTATATATATATACATTTGATCTTTATATCAATTCTTCATGGGTTTCCGATCTTTGGCTATGATTAATTAATGATGAACATTGTCATTTTCGTTTATGATCGATTTCATCACGATTCGTTTGTTAAGCTTGAAAACTAATTATACAATCTTATTGCTCAGAGTAGAGTCCCTCTGTGTTATAAAATCCTCGGAGAATTCCAGTAAGATATCTTTAATCATTTCTAAGATACAAAGGTTCAAGTCTTAGTCTAACAAATGAACAATTTTGTTGTTACACGATTTGGACAATTTTGCTGTTACATGCGATATATATATATATATATATATATATATATATATATATATATATATATATATATATATATATATATATATATATATATATATATATATGTGTGTGTGTGTGTGTGTGTGTGTGTTGTGTGTGTGTGTGTGTGTGTATGGTTGCAGTAGTTTCCAAGGCGTTGCTGAATACAGCCACAAATTGCCTTGGGGTAATTCTACTCCGGGCTTTTTCCTCGGGGTTGACGCGCGAAGCCTTTCTCATGAATGGGTATAGCTGCAAGGCAGCGGACATTTTAAGTTTTTCTACACTAACTGGTTTCCATTGCAATTTTTTTAGCGTCGTGGGCGGGGAGAGTATCTACCGCACGAATAACAGTTTGTTCTCTATATTTATCTGTCCAGTGCCTTGTGCACCAGGGAACAAGGAAACGTCAGAATGATGATCATAAGTAAAATTCTATCGTCTGGCAATAATAAATTAGGCCTAATCTATCTATCTATCTATCTATCTATCTATCTATCTATCTATCTATCTATCTATCTATCTATGTTTTATTTATCTCTATTCCTATTCTCTCTCTCTCTATATAGTCATTATCTATCTATATATATATATATATCTATCTATCTATCTATCTATCTATCTATGTGTTTTATTTATCTCTATTCCCTCTCTCTCTCACTATATATATATATATATATATATATATATATATATATATATATATAGTTTATCTATCTATCTATATATCTATCTCAGCTTGTTCATCTATCTATCTATCTATCTATCTATCTATCTATATATCTATCTAGCTTGTTCACATCTATCTATCATCTATCTATCTATCTATCTATCTATCTATCTATCTATCTATCTATCTATCTATCTCAGCTTCTTCGCATCTATCTATCTATCTATCTATCTATCTATCTACCTCAGCTTCTTTATCTATCTATCTATCTATCTATCTATCAATCTATCTACCTCAGCTTGTTCACATCTATCTATCTATCTATCTATCTATCTATCTATCTATCTATCTATCTATCTATTGTTTTCTTTCTCTCTTTCTATGTATTAATCTATCTGTCTATATCAGCTTGTTTACATCGATCCCTGTTTATTCAGTATCTATCTCTCACTCATTTTCCCCCCTCTCTCTCTCTCTCTCTCTCTCTCTCTATATATATATATATATATATATATATATATATATATATATATATATATATACAAAAGTGGACATAACAATAAATTAGAATATATTAATATAAATGATGACCGTAGAATGCAAAATAAACATAGAAGTAGAAATATATTATGGTTTAACCCCCACATATAATTCTACGGTGAAAACTAAAATAGGCAGAGTATTCTCAAACAAAACTTCCCACAAACAAGTGCATTATAAAAAATATATAAATAAATATAAATGTCAAATTAAGCTATAGTTGTATGCCTAATGTGGCTAGCTTAATTAATGGATACAACATGAGGAAAATTAAGGATAAACCACGTACAGCCCTTCCCAAATGTAATTGTAGGAATAAGAATGCCTGTCCCCTCCAGGGAAAGTGCCAGCAAGAGTGCGTGGTATACCAGGTAAAAATATACAAAGATAGACTTAACAATACTGATGAAAATCCTAAAGTATATATAGGATCTACCCAAAAACAGTTTTGAAAAAACTGTATTATAACCATATTAATAGTTTTAATAACGAATAATTCAAACATAATACCACGTTATCTACTTACATATGAGAAATTAAACATGACTATAATAAAGATACCATTTTGAAATGGGAAATATTAAAGAAATGCCATAAATACAAAGCAGGTAATATAGTTTGTCATCGATGTATAGAGGAAAAGTTAGCCATCGCTTTAAGGAATCTAATAATTTGCTGAATTTAAAAACGGAAATCTTAATTAAGTGTAGACATAGAAAACACTGGTTACTTAAATAGGTTTGTTTTCTTCTCTTTTTTTTTTTTTTATTTATGTTTTAAATAAAATGTTTTACCACCGAGTCGTTGTGTTACTGCTTTTTTATCTTTTTTTTTTGTCACGTGGTCATGTTTTTGTGCTGTAGGCTTTATATTTTCTGTTCATACAACACCTCTTTTGCCAGTCCACCCTGACGATTCGCGTAGGTGAAACCTAGGTAGGTTGGTCTGGCTCTTTCTTTACTTATATATATATATATATATATATATATATATATATATATATATATATATATATATATATATATATATTGGGTAAATATAAGTAGCTATTCGGGCGAGGTAGTGTCAACCAAAAATATAAATAAAAGTAAATATAATAATTCCGGCCCATGAAAATTGCTTTGGCATGAAACTCAGAGTTGTACAGTTAATGTAAGATATTATATATATATATATATATAAAGAGAGAGAGAGAGAGAGAGAGAGAGAGAGAGAGAGAGAGAGAGAAATGGGAAATATTAAAGAAATGCCATAAATACAAAGCAGGTAATAAAGTTTGTCATCGATGTATAGAGAAAAAGTTAGCCATCGCTTTAAGGAATCTAATAATTTGCTGAATTTAAAAACGGAAATCTTAATTAAGTGTAGACATAGAAAACGCTGGTTAATAAAATATTAGGTTGGTGCAAAAATAATGACGTAATAATGTCGTTTTTTGACGTATTTTTTAACGTCGCAAAACGACATTAATACGTCATTATTTTTGCACCAACCTAATAGGTTTGTTTTTCTTCTCTTGGTATTTTTTTTTAATGTTTTTGAATAAGTATGTTTCAACCGCCCCACCCCTCCGTTGTTGTGTTACTGTTTGCTGTTTTTTTTGTTCTTTTTTTTATCACATGGCCATGTTTTTGTGTTGTACTATATATTTTCAGTTCTTATATCACCACTTTAGCCAGTTTACCCTGACGATCCGCGGAGATGAAACCTAGTTAGTTTTGGCTGGCTCTTTAGCTTTACTTATATATATATATATATATATATATATATATATATATATATATATATATACAGAGTGTAACCCGGATATAAGAGAAACCCGGGTATAAGAGAGATTTTCTCTGCTCCCAAATTAGAACCTGTGTTAGCTAAACAAAATAGACCAAACCCGGATATAAGAGAAACCCGGATATAAGAGACTTCTTCTCCGGTCCCGACAACTCTCTTATATCCGGGTTATACTGTTATATATATATATATATATATATATATATATATATATATATATATATATATGAATAACTATACATATTATTCCTCACCTCACTATCCGTATATATAGATAATATTAGTGGTTAATATACACATACATATGCAATCATATTTCTAAACTATTAGTCTTTAAGCCTTTTTTTATATATATATATATATATATATATATATATATATATATATATATATATATATATATATATATATATATATATTGATTCGTTTTACACGGCTTATCTAAAGCCAGAGAATATTCAAAGGCAGAAAATACTTTAGACTGTAAGAATCCTTTTTCAGATAATAATGATACAAGTCTTACTAATTAACCCCTAACTGGGGTGGGGAGAGAATATGTGGATTCATATATTTCTAAAGTTGCTTTGCACGGAAGTGAATATAACGAATGAACCTGGAATTGAACTCGGCTCTCCGATTAACAATTCCGAGCCATTATCCATTACACCACCCGCTCATTTAACCATACATCATCTGGTATTCCCAAGGGATGACCTGTCTAGGTACTGACGGGAACCGAGGTTTAAACGTGAACTAGCCGTAAACCTTATGGCGGCAATATACGCCTTTGATCATCAAGCAACACATATAGTAATGAAAGGCAGTATGAGTATCTGTGATCTGTTGTATTGGTGGTAGTAAGAAAAAAAACGATTTGTCGTCCTGTGCTTGATAGCCCTCTAATTATTTCGACGGTCTATGGAGGGCGAAAGATAGAGTTTTCTTAATGAAAAATGTTTGTTTCCATATTGAAGTAAGTATTTTGTTACAAGTCGTCAAACATTGGCGATGTTTGATACGGAAGACAAGACGCGGGGAAAAGAAAAGCCTCCTACTTTAAAAATCTGCTTATGAATATTTTGGCAAAATTTAACTTAGAAACAAGCAAAAAATAAAACAAAACAGTGTGTCGAAAGGATGTTTTTCTCTTGACATCGCAATTACCGATTCCGATTCGATCCGATCCGAACCGAACCGACCCGAGCCGAACCGAACTGATCCGAATCGTCCGAGCCGAGCCGAACTGATCCGATCCGAACCGATCTGATCCGATCCAGAACAAAAATGACGGATTTATTAATCTAAGGAAGAACATTGGATTAATGGATGGCGTCTCGGATTGAAGAAATCTCACGGACGAGGTCGATTTCCAGTCGAGTTCATTACAGTCACTTACGTACTAATACCCTTGGGAAAGGTATGAATCCATCTCTTCTCCCAACAGTTGTGGGTAAATAGCAGACTGGGTCATATAGTCTTGGAGAGCCCTGGATTTCGTCAGGCTATCTTGTCTAGAAAAGACTATTACTACTGCGGCTGCAGTATATTTGGTGACCATAATGGATTACGGATTTAATAATAAAATAAAAAATAGAACATACTTCCCCGGAAGAAATAATCTGATGGAAAATGAAAGATAAGGTTTTTCGAACCGCATAAAAACGTAAGGTTTGTTAGAATCCTTAACTTCTTTATATAAAGCGTTTTCTTTGCTTTAAGCGCATCGAAAAATAGGGTGTGTTCCTCTATTTCTTATTGATTATATTTCAAACAAATTCAAACATATAAGCATAGAGACTCAAAACTTTTTAAAAATCTTCTTTTGCTGTAAAATCAAAATACAAGAAAATGCACAATTTATAATACATACATTAAAAACCTCTTTAATATTAATATATATATATATATATATACATTCATTAATATTATTATCACAGGGCTGAAAAAAATAACTACAACAACAATAATAACAAATATAAGTGTTTCATTTTGTTTAAATTCTTGGGACAAAGAGTCATCTATATTTTTATTATTTTCAATCGGACTAATGTCCTCATCTTTGTTTTTAATATGACGACGTTTCGGTCATCGCGGCCTATGACCATCTTCAGGTGTCGATTCTGGCAATAAATACCATATATTTGTTATTTCCGAGCGAAGGAATTCTGTAGGTCTTAGAGATGACCGTTCTTCTTCAAACCCGTGTCGACTGGCGCTATGGAATCACAAACAAAAACAAAACTGTAGCAGATAATAGAAAGCACATCAGTTGAGGACTTTCAACAGCAGTAACAACTAAAATGGATAGTACAAAGATGGAATAATGACAATCAAGATGATAATATCTGACACTTCACTCAGACAAAAGACAAGGAAGGAAGCCATTCCCCTTTATGCTGGAAAAATAATAACACTTACTGAACTTGATAAACATATTTTCCTGAAAAACAGTTTTGATAGAAATATTTTATAAATTTCAACCAATGGTAGCTATAGCTGCTAAGTCAATGAATACTGAATGTTTCCTTATAAGGAAACAACTAATATTACCATTAGAGATGAGAAGAACAGTTACTACTTTGATCCGGTCAGGAAGTGAAGAAAAGCATAACTGGAGTAGCACTCACTGCTTGGCCAATAAATGTTGATCATTTAATCATAAGGAAATGGTTAATTGTAATGATCCCCACAGAAGGATTTTCTTCCATCTAGATATTTTAGGATGTATCTCACATACTTCAGCTAAGCAGGATAAGATAACATTATTTGATTCTTCTGAGTTGTTATGCTCAAGATTTAAGGATATCAATTTGGATTCTTTTATCATTAGTCCAAATTTTTTTAAATGATTTTGTACTATTAAACTAAGAACAAAAAAAAAACATATCTAATGCATGCTATATTGCTAGTAAGCTAATAAATATATGAGGATGTATTGCTACTTTGATCTGTTGTTCAGGAAATGTAGAAAACTGTAACTGGAGTGATACACGCTGCTTGGTCAATAGAAACCGAATCGTTTGAGGAATTTCAACAGCAGCAACAACGAAAATGG